CCTCTGTCTTTTCCTGTGCTGCAGTTTCTCTTCTCGCTCCCGCAGAGCTCGCAGCAGTGTGACAGGCATCTAGGGCAGGAGCCAGATAGAGAGGAAAGTGAACCTTGGCTGCCATGAGAGAAGCTAGCCAAAGGCATTAACCCTTCCTGCTCCTTCCTGCAGCTGCCACGGTGTGACAACAGATGAGCAAATCTGTGCTCAGTCCCTGTGGTACCTACTCAGAGCACTGGACGATTTTCCTTGGTACTCAGGTCTTGATTTTTATGGCTAAAGTACATACTTCCCTGGCCCAGTCAGCCCCAAATTCCATGGGAAAGCTTCCCTCACCTCTCCGTGGTTTATACCACAGCAGAGCAGCAGCTTGGGGAAGGCTGTATGCTGGTCTTGTCCAGACTAGTCAGGTGCTCAGGGGCATCCCTGCTTAAATCCTCCAGCCTACACATTGGTCTCTGACCCACACCCCTGTGATGAGAAATACAGCCCAGCCATTCAGGGCTTGGGGAAAAAAAAAAAATCCTGCTGTTCTGCAGGCTTTTACTGTATGTATAGGAAACCGTGCCAAGGCCATCTCACAGCTGGACTGAGGGGAGGGGTCTCAAAGATAAGTAAGAAGCACGACCCACGAAACTTGATGCCATGTCTCAGATTCTTCAAAGGCAAAGGCTTTTCCAGTGAATTTTTCCAGTCTTTAGATCTCAGTTCTGATCCACTTTGGCAGGTCTAGCTGTGTCCTGACCTGCCTCTTGTTTACTGCTTTTTCTGCTCGCGTTTTTCTCTGTGTCTGGCAGTTCACCTCACTGCTCCCAAATGTTTGGCAGGGAGAGAGGAGCAGCAGTGTCTTCCCCTCTCTCTGTTAAAGGCACTCCTCAAAGCTAGCTAAGCGTCCACCTTTCATTTTATTGGTCCCGATTTTGGAATTGTTTACACCCCCTTTAAGCAGATTTTCTCACTGTGGTGTGTCTATGTAAAGTGTTTGTAACCGGGTTTGTCATGGCAGCTGCTCCTCCCTGTGGTCACCGGCGTTTTTAATGGGCACTGCTGACAGCTGCCAGAATGGAAGGGGAACGTTGCTCTCATTGTTTTATTATTGAGGTAACTTGCACTGAAATACATTCTGGCATGAGCTGTGGAAAATACGCAGCCTAACAGCATCCAGGCTGTGAGTGATCTTAACCAGTTTATTT